CCTGTCACCTTGCATTGACTATTACTTTTCTATTTATTTTTAGTGTTCAAGACTGCCCTGTAATCAAATCCAAGCTTTCTTTTATTTTTTATCAATATGCTCAACATGCTAATATGATATGGAAGTGTTAATAATGCTTGGTACTAGGTACTGGGAATACTAGTTATAGCCATAACTAGATGGGTTTAGCTCAAACTTCCAATAGGATCAAGTCTAAGGCCAGTAACAAAATATAAGACTGCTGATTTCAGTAGGCATTGAATTAAGGCCTTATTGCCTCATGAAAAGGAAAATCATCAAGAATGTTCATTTCAGTAGAAAAAAAATCATCCTGAAATGAGCCATAATCTTAGAGAAAAGAATCCACACAAGTCTTTGTTCCTCTCCAAGTCTTATAAGTTAGAATTTTTCCCTCAAACCTTCAAATTTTGAGATCAGCCCTTTCCAATGGTAAAAATCTCCCACTTCTAGCTATGATAGCTAAGGGATGTCAGTCACTTGACACCAGTGAAGAAGCAAATCTTATCCTTTCAGGGCCTCAAGTTGGTGTGTTTTTATAGAGGGAAATTCATTTTTTGGTGAGGGAAAAAAGGGTGCATTTGTCTGGTAAGTTGTTTACAAAAATTATACAGCTCTTTGAAGTTGGTCAGAGGTTTGGGATATTAGACATAAGTTTCTCAGAAAGTATATGTTAAATGAAGCTTATCACAAGGCTTTGTATTTTAACACATGGCCAAGATTGAGAATCTGTACTTGTAGAGATTAGTAATTTATTTTGGGTCAACTCCTGCTCAAAGGAGTAGAGGGTAGATTCAGGCTAGATATCAGGAGGCACTACTTCACAATCAGGGTGGCTAGGATCTGGAACCAACTTCCAAGAGAAGTGGTGCCCACTGCTACCCTGGGGGTCTTTAAGAGGAGGCTGGATGAACACCTTGCCGGGGTCGTTTAACCCCAGTACTCTTTCCTGCCATGGCAGGGGGTCAGACTTGATGATCTGCTCACGTCCCTTCCGACCCTGCCAACTATGAAACTATGAGTAGTCTCTCCATGGGAAGTGCTGAGAGGACACGTTCCCTGTGATGGAACTACACGTTCCTTAATCCATTTTGCTGGATTGGAGCATTACTTTCTCAATTCTTTAGGTTGTGGACACACACACAGTTTATCACAAAGTAAGGAAAAGTGTGGCTTTAATGTGCATTAAATGCTCTGCAGAAAGTTTTCATGTGCAAATTCTTACACTGTGGTAGTTCAAGATTAATCAGAGCTAGGTTAGCGCTCAGTGAAAGAGAGAAGTGATACTGTAGGCTAGCTTTCATTTATCATGAATGGACACTAAGAACCAAAGACTAAACATTGATTTTGGGGTAATGGCACATAATATCTTACCCAACTCCTGAATTCTTTCCACACAGGAAAGGTTAGAATGACCCTCCTCCCTTTGGTAGGCCTTGATCTCCCAGTATTCAGCTTCTTTTCTTCTGCTAATTGTGTGCCCCCTACACCTGACAATTTTTCTCACCTCCTCCCCTCTGCTGTTTTCCGCTATTCTGTCCTTGGCTTCCTGTGATCAGAGACCCAAGGAAGAACATCTTCCATTCAAAAGCTTATTTAACTTTATCCCAGCTACATAGTTGGTCCAGTAAAAGAAAGACCCTGAGAAATCTTGCGTCTTGCATTTATCACGAAGTAAGATCACACACACGGGCAGTTACCACGGAGCAACAGATGTGTGCTAATACCCCATCTTCTTTTCCTCATGGTAAATTGTGGGCCTATTTCTTTAGAGTATGGACCTGAATTTTAAAATTTGACCATAAACCTTCATGACCCTCATAAACATATGTATTCAGACACAGATTTTTTTTTTATTAAATGAGTGTAAAGAAATACAAGCATACATATAAATGAGTACTGTCCTTCAATAATAGTGTAAGTGTTTTTCTGTGTGTAAAAATATGAACACCTATATTTTCCCTCCCTTGTGTTGCACAAACGGCTAGTTTCGTGCCCCTGGAGGCTTGTCCAATCCACCCCTAGGAGAGAGTCACACACACAGGCTGGGTCCAATTTCAGATTTATTGTTTGCAAACAAGTTCGACAAGGGAGCTTAATTTACTCAAATCCGTGTCGACCCCAAACAGAGTCTGGGGTTCCTTTTTATAGCTAACATAAACAAAAGATTCTAACGTGTCGCGTAATTATTGGCAGCCCAAGTATTACGTCTTGCAACATATGTCTAGCAGTTACATGTTCTATGATGGTTTACATACATGTCTCATTTACATCTTAAATCTCCTCCCTGGGGCCGTCCTTAAGTCCATTTCGGTCATTCTTCGGTCAAGGTTTGAGTTCTTCACATCCGCATCTTTCCCTGTGCCTCTTCTCTTATCTCTCGTAAGGAGTTATTTGTTGCATCTGTTCCTGGCTATGTCTGCAGAAGTCTAGTGCTACTCGTAAATCTATCATTGGCCTACATACCTTAGCAGAAGCAATTGTGTAGTGAAGCCAAACAGTTCTCAGCTGTGAAGCCTTTGTGTAGTGAGATGAGACATTTTTACCACACAGCTGCTATACAAACGTTATTGCAAAATCATAATGACTAGATTATAACATATTTTTACCACACTTGTCCCCCATGCACAAACATGAGCATACTCTCATACAAGATGATGTTGGCTGAGAAGTCTTACAATTGGCACTTCAGAGTGCGATTTGTGTGCAGGTCAGGAGGTGGTACGATATTCTGGTGAGAGACGAAGTCTGGGTCCAACAAGGGTTACAGTGCCCTTACTTTCAGTCTTTGTGTGTGTGACCCTGGCCATCACAAGTCACCAAGAACGTTTTGCAAAAAGGAAGTAGGACTTAATTTAATACTATTGCTGATGAGCTACTCAGGTAAATCCTGAGTTTTAAAAAATTTGTTCCAGGAAATAGTATTATTATCACCTCTAGTATGCCAGCATTTCAGTGAGTTTAGTGATAGTGGGTTTTTTTTCCTTTTCATTCCCGCTCACTGACACATCTTCACCCTACTGACGAACATAACCAGAAAGCGAAGCAAGTGTCCATGGTTACTTTGTGTGGGATGAATTCAGAAGCTGTGAGGTCTTGCAGAAGTTAGTCAGCCTTGATGCCATAGTGATTTGTCACAACTAATGCTCATGGGATTTGGCAGTGGTGGGAGTGTGTGCTCTGCATGAATTCTCCCTTTCTGAACTCACTGTTGCATACATATCTGATGTGTTGACTCTGAGCTTTGCCAGAGGAGTTTTATAACACTGTCACGACTATGGCAACCCAGCTTAAACATTTCAGGCCCCCACCCATATGCTTGCTTAGACAGGTGAAACTTCCATTGACTTCCCATCCTTGAGTATAGACTGTAGGTTCCTGTCCTTTGTGATAATAAAGGCTGTGCAGCACTCCACATTTTGCTTCAATAAAGGAAACCTTGTAGTGTAGTGCACAATTTGCCTACAGGGCTGCATGATTTGCAAGCAATGGTTTTCTTTTATTTGACAATTTATTAGGACCAATAGTGTAATTCACAGGAAAGTTTCACATTCACAGGGAAGCTTAGGGGATTCTCTTGGGATAGTTTGCAGTCCTGTAACTCTTCTCTGCCTGCTAAAAGTGTGCCTGACCTTACAAAATCAATTGCCTTCTTCTCTCTTTTAACATTGCTCATAGTGATAGTGAAATAGGCCACTGCATGATAAGTAGACATAAAGTCCAACTCTCTTGGGAGACAGCGAGAAAAGCAAAACACAGACAGCTAACTGGACAAATGAAAAGATGTTTTTATTAGAAATGCAATAAAGATAAAAGTCTGTCAGAGATATACATTTTGCTACTAGAAATCTTAACAGTTTATTTAAAACACAAGAGCTATTTTCCAAAGTTGGATATTCTTACCTCAACAAGATATATATAAATGTAATAAAAACAAACAAAACTAGATTAGAAAGCTTTATTCTTGATACAATATTGAAGGAAATTAGCAACTAAAGTTCATAGACCAGATTGTCCTGAGAGCTCTGTTAGAACTACACTGATCTGCAACTAAGAATCTGGCCCAATATAAATGCATTTTTAGATCCTTTCTCCTCTTCTGCTCACACCTTAGGTAATTAAAACTGCAAGAATTGTATAGATTTACTCTTTTACCATTTATGCTGCTGCTTTGTTTTTCAAAGCTTTAACAGATTTGGATTGTGACATGAAACCAGAAAATATCTTTCTCCTGTCAGGTGTCTTATCCAGTTCTCAAAATTCTAATCCAAAGCTGTTAGGTTTAGTTTTGCAATGTTGGGGGAGAATGTTTAAACATTTTTAAAAACACATTTTCATTACTATATATTTTAAGTAATTCTATGAAACCACCTCAGGCTAGACCCCCAGCTGGCATGAATTGGAGTAGCTCTGCTGAAGTCAATGGGTTTATACTAACTGAGGACCTAGCCTTTACACTCTTGTGGGGACAAATCCGAAGAGGTACTGAACATTTGCAGCTCCTAGTAAAGGCCCATTTACATTTTATAACTTGCCTCCCTCATCTATTTTTTGGTTTAACACACTAAATTTAGAGTGTAGCGGACTTGACTTTGTCCCTTTAATATTGTTGTCAGTTGGTTTGACTGTAATGAGCTAGAAAATACTCAGTTCTACACTTCTCTGCATACGTGCAACTCCAACTTAATTCAACAAGAGTTACACAAGCTTCGAGAGCTTGGTTTGGCCTCTTAGTTAGGATCTGCAACAGACTTCAGGGCACAATCAGGTAAGAAGAGATGCAAATGCTACACCTCTTTTCTCCAGATGGGCCAAATTCTATCCTCAGGTCTAAGCAAGGCTCCTAGTGAAATCTATGGGGGCCATGAGTACCCATCCAATGCAGAATAATATCCCCAAATGACAGGCTTTTCTGAGGAAGAAATCACTGTTGCTTCCATTCCTG